CCGAATTAATTAATTCATGGACCAGATTTAATTAATTTGATTAATTAAATATTGGACCGAGTTAAATTTAAGAGATGGGCCAAGCCCGCTTGAGCTTATATTAATAAGCTATTAGGGTTTGAAAATTATATAGAAAATTCATTATTCTTGCTAACACAAGAAAAGAAAACTCTAGTCGTCATTCTTGTTCTGTGTGGATCACCATTGGAGGCTGAACAATTGGACAGCTTGAATTGCAGATCGTGATCATTCGAATTCAAGAATCAGCAAAGGAGTTTGCAAAATTTATCAAATGTATTATTCTAAACACAATTTCTATCTAAATACAAAGCAGATCCGTGGCGGGAATTGAAATTTGATTTATTTTTCGCTGTGCATGATAAGTAAATTCCCAACAAAAGGTACCCCCTGGCATATCAACTGAATAGCAAGCACAGGTGCCATTATTGCTGCTCATTTGAATAGGGAAGAAAGCTTACGGCCGCTTCCTTGTTTCTCACCTTCACCAAGCTTATCTTTTTCATTCTCTTCAGTAGCCATCCCATGAGCAGGTGAATGTCGCCTGATTCTTTCCTTCGGTAAGTGATGCTTCTCTACAGGCATGTCCTGCCTTTTTGTAACCTTATCATGCACCTTCTCAAAAGGCTTTATATGTTTCTCAGGACTCTCTCGGTATTCTTCATTTTCAACCACTTTCTGCTTCTTTGCTGTCCATTTGTGTTGCCACTTTCCCAGCCTTTTGCTTATCGCCCCTTGAGGCAAATCACAACTCTCCACATTTTCAGTATCATTGGTTAAGCTATCCTTTTGTGAACGAGCATTTTCTTTGCTAGACTCCTTCTGAAGCTTCTCGGCTACACCTTGGCAATCTCTCTCTTCCATAGTGTCTTGCTTAGTCTCGGCCATCTCCTTAGGCTGCTTACACACAACTGTCTTCTGATTTTCACTCAAATTGTCCACATAAGTATCACTATTAACCTCTAAATACCTTGTTTTACTAGCGTTGTCTGGTGGGAGCTCATTATTAGTCAATGATATGCTTCGTTTCTTTCCAGCCTTGCTTATAGAGTCACCTTTCCTAATACAAATTGATGTCTGTCGAATATTTTCAAACTCCATATCTTGTGGAAAATCAATTGCTTGTGAATCAAATTTTTTCCGTTCGGTTACTTCTCTGTCTTGGTCATCCCAGCAAACCAGAGTGTCCAGTATAATTTTGCCCAGCACAAACCTAATCTCACGCACATTTCCTTCTCCAAGCAAGCGGTAATCAATCTCCAGGCTATTTCTGTTGGTCTTCAAAGATGTAATATCTTTCATGAGGATGTTAAAAACTTGCTCGACATGTTGCCCCATTTTCCTGGATACAAAAACCTGAAATATAAAGTATTTTCGCATCCATCAAATTCACAAATGAGACTGATTTATAAATTATGAGTAAAAAAGTGCCATGTTAGTGGCCCGCACTGATGCAATTACAATTTTTTACTCATCCCCCCGGACAGCTATAACTGCAGCATATCTCACACATACCCAGCTTTCAGGTGGTAACAGAAGGCAACCCCACCAACTCATGAGGCAAACAAGAAAAGATTAGGAAGTAAGAAACTACAAAAGGCATCTTGAAGTCTTATTCGTAGTTCCAGAATAAAAATGATTGATATGGACTGATACAGTTCTTCATTTATGGGTAAGACAAATGAATTTAGTTCCTGAAGAGTGCACAAGACGAAATAACATAAATTTGGCAAGATGGACCACAACCTTGTATGTCTACGATAACAGATTCGTTGAACACTACATTTTCATTATAATTGATAGATTTGAATGCCACCAGAATTTAAACAATCCATTGAAAAGGAAAACAGTCTCGAACAATTCTTTTTATATGGATGTCGACTGAAAATGGGGATGTAGCCTAGTTCCATTTTGAGGACTTGCATAAAATAATCACATCAGAGGTCGCATTCAAAGGTACAGAAATAGAAAAAACCAGCATTAGGCTTACAAATAATCTTTAATAGTACATCCAAGTGATACGGAAAGAGGGAAAAGAGACCACACTAAGAACTGGGGATTAAAGGATCATATGAATTAATCCTGAAAGGTAACAAGGATATCATACAATTTCATAACTACGGATACCTGGTTAAGCATCTGAATCCATTCTAGATACCACAAGCCATCTTTCCACCAGGTAAGGGCAGAATAACCACAGAAGAAGCATCAGTAATGAAAACTTATTTACTTACCAGACCTGAGCATGTAAACTCTGGGAAACTGGCCATTGCTTTCAGTAGGCAGTCTGTGTCAACTAAAAGGTCTACAGAATTTTGCACTTGCACTGCAAATTGCGCTACTCTTTCAGCAATATCATTCTCTGATAAGAAATCGGAAGTGTTTAAAACTTCTGGTGCATAAATACATGTGTCTGGAGCATGTTCTCTAGCAAAATTAAAACTATCCTTCCACTTTCCATGATAAAGAACTGAAGCCAGAGTCAAAACCACAACAGCTTGTTGAGGATTATAAATCAATGCAAGGTGAAATACCAATAGCGCAACCCTGTTCCACACACATATAAAAGTATGAAAAGATTAAGCAAGCAGTCTCTGAACTAGAAAAGATAATTGGACATAATTTGTGGATATATTTATAGGCATCGTCAAAAGAGAAAAATAAAAGGACAATAATTAAAATATTAATCCACACGCAGTCAAAGACTATGCTAGTAGAAGTTTTATATCATTTGGTATAGTGATACATGAGGAATCACGCTAAATAAATGGGGTATTGATCCCTAGAAATATTAGACCAAGTAATAACAACAGAATGAGTTGCTGAATCATAATTCCAGTTACATATTCAATCATGCAGATCCATTATTCTTATCAGTTTTACATGCGCGAATTTAATTTCAAATGTCTTATGTGAATAGAACGCTCCATAACTCTTAAACGTATTTGGGTAGTTGTTCAACTTCAAAACCTTGGGTATGATTGTGTGGGGTAACAACAAACTCAAATCAGCACTAGCATGTTGGGTGAACAATTTTAAAACAGATTGCATGGAAATTAGGCAAAATTGCAATTGGGCTCACAAAAACTTAGTCATTTACTATGTTATATGGGGTCATGGCAAGAGGATCAACAACAGGTTGAGTGAGATTTCTTTGTGAAAATTATAATTTAATTACGTTAGGAAAAGAAAATTGTTAAGAGCTTTGCCTGCAATGATGTCATTGATGAGTAGCATAAGTGCAAAATTGTCCTTTTTTCTGAGTCCGACTAGATAGTGATATTGTTCTATGTACATGAAATAAGGAGATAAAATCCTCTAGTACATAATGAAGTTTTAAGTGTGTCCGCCATAATCAGAGATGAGCTTAAAATAGTTCTAAAACAATAGTATAAGTGAATCAGAGTCAGGTTGTCTCGCTGAACCATTCACCCTTTACATAAGCTGTTTACAACCCAAATTATACATCAACAAATTGGTTGTAACCCACTATTTAACAACCGCCCAAACCCAACCAAGCCTGCTTGTTACCTAAATGTAACAACAAAATGATGGGAGGCAGGAAACTACGTGTATCAACTCCTACCCCACACCCACCCACAGGAGCATAGTTCCATAAAAGAAATATATGGTAGCAGTAAATTCTGGTGCAACAAATAATAAAATGACTCACCACAAACTAGCGTCACAAGGCCGATCACAAGTAATCAACTGATCTAAATTGAAAAATAATCTCTGAAAATAATGAAAAAGTCAATTGATAACAGAAGAGGATAAACGGGAAAAGTACTGAAGCAAAAGAAAACAAAAAAAGATGAATAAACTAGGGATTCAAGAAAAGTGTAAGCTCATGAGAAAGTTGGTTTTTTAGGTAGCACAAGAAGATAGAGAACAGAGATACAGGACTAATAATGAAGGCCACTATATGCTATAACAGGAAATTAACTTACCATTAGCATCGAGGAACGTAGGCCAGGTTGTTTACCTGCCTGTTTAGCAAGGTACATTGCCTATAACAAAGTAATTAAGACTTGAGAGATCCCAGATCTAAGGTTTAATGGTGGAATGGAAAACAAAGGAAAGGACAAAAATACTTACATGACATGGTAGAAAAATTTCGAGCAGCTTGAACTTTTGAAGTAAAAGAAGAGAGGGCTCAGCTGCTCCATAGGATAGCATATAATTTAACTCCAACCATGCTCTAGACTAAAGAAGAAACGACGTATTACTTATAACAATTTCAAGAACATAAGGAATATAACAACTTCCTGAAGGAGAAAGTCGGTAATAAATTCCTCTCTCTCCTCCTCTGTACTTCTGGAGGTAAGGTTGGCATGTCCCCACTGCTTTTTGTACTAATTTTTCAATCAATAGACGAGGTAGAGTCAACGCCAGCCAAACCTCCCACCTATGCACAGGTGGATTTTGATTTTAAAAGAAAAATGCCAGTAATAAATCCCAATCATACATAGCATATGAAACGCCAACCATTTTCTAATCATAAATAACATGAGTGGAATAGAAAATATTGTAGCAAGTTTTTAGAATTACCTTCTCTAAGCCAGCAATGGATGAAGACAGATTATGTATGGCATCCTCGGTCTCTTTGGAAAATGAAAGGTTAAGACGGGCTGCAAGTCTCAAACCCCGCAATATTCTAGCTGAAAGAACATAGTTAATATTCTTGTTAGTTTCGTTTGTCAAAAGTATCTTTTACATGCAGAGAATTAAATGATTCTGGATTATATATTATGCTAAATAAACCTACCACGATCCTCTTTGAACGATAAGTGAGCTGGTATTACCGTCTGTAGCTGTTTACGTAACAAAAGAACAACTTTATGAACTTCTACTCTCACAAGATCAAATTTAATTTGTCCGAAGGTAATAAATGCTCACCTTCAAGGATCTTAAATCCGTCATCGCATTGGTGTAATCAAAAATTCCATTCACAAAAGGATCGAAGAATAAGCTGTTTCAACAATTCCATAAATACACATTCATTAAGTTAGGGGGCCTGAAAAAGATGTTCACCCTATGAAGAAAAATATTTTTTCAGACAAGAACTCTGATATTTTAATTATAATACCAGTAGTCAGAGAAGTTGTCCTTATGGAAGATAAAGGAATGTAAATAGTTGTGACACCGACAAACAAGCATATAGCAATAAGATAGTTGTCACGCCTATATCACTTTGCTCTGTCACGGGCTATCTTCAAAGTTAAACCACAATAATTCAGTTCATTTTATTATATCCCATGTCATATGATTTTAGGCCAATCTGTATGCTAGTCACATCGCTCTTTGTAACTGATGAAACACTTAATAACATATTCTAAACTTGAAGGACTAAATATAAGAACTGAGTTCAGGTTGCCAGCATTCTTGTAAACCCTCCCACCGGACGAAACTAAAATATCAAGACATTGGCTTTCGGAAGCAATTTGCCCTTGAAAGAATACAAGGATCAAACCAGTTAATAGTGAAGTCTCGTTGCAAGCAATTCTTCCAGCGAGTAAGATCTCCTTGAGTACAATCTGCTGGCATTTGAGACATACAAACTTCTTTCCTTTTAGATTGTTCGGCTACAGTTTGGAAACTTGATACCTGAAGAAAGAATATGAGAAAGACCTTATTTGAATAACAAAGAACAGTGGAATAGCACAATAGGTCAACTCTAAGCCAAGAGATGTGAAGAAAAGCTCCAAAAACAAGATGAATCTGCACTAACCTCAACTATAGAGCCTTTAACAGAGACCCTACATATAGGAAATCGGCGTCCAACAATTACTGCACTGTGAAACTTCTTCCGGATCTAAACAAACTCAAACAACTATAGTTTTAAGGAGACCACTTGTATGCAAAAATTCATAGATAGAAGAAAAGAATTAAACACAATAAAGGACCTGCTTAAGTCCAGCTGTCGTGATCACGTCAAAATCTTTTGGTACTTTATTGAGAAGTAAATCTCTCACACACCCACCAACTAAGTAGGCTTCAAATCCTGCATGTTTAAGATTCAATATCAAGAAACCGGACATGTACACAGAAGGCATCTATAGTAATTCAATGGTGCATCAAAAAATGGAAATATCCACACTTATGCTTCAATATGTACTGGAGAAAACAGAATCAAGCCTCCAATTAAGGAATCTAACTACTTCTAGCATCCTGTGTTGCAAATATTTATATACTTGTACATAACTATTAAGAGTGAAATATAATTCATAATGTAAATTTTCCACCCAAAGTTTTCCAGATTTAGAACTTTTATTGTTTAGTCCTGGTAAAGATCCCCAGGCAGCATATTTTTTCTAAATGAGTCCTAAGTAACATGACATGAAGCGGTACAATTTTATTGATGAGGTATAAGTTCTTTGGACAACACTTTCTACAGAGGTCACCTATACTTGATTTTCATAATCAGATCCATAAAATGAATCCAGGAGAACACATGCATTAAGAAGACACGTTAGGAAGTGAGTGCAAAACATTACTTCTTTAAAATTGATGGAATTTATAAAATTGATACCTTAACTAGCTTTAGTCCATTTATCTACTGTTGTATTATTGTGAACATGAGATCATATGAACAGTGTCTATTTTTGTAATTCCACATGTCACATCAGAAAATACTTCTGACTGATGCCACGATTGAGGTGAAATTTCATTCTATTTTCAAGGTTTTTATTACTAATTAAACTAATATCGCCAAAAACTAGTTAGACAACCAGATTTCAATGGCAGACCTGCTCATTTATGTACGCAAAACTATTATTCTAATGTAAGCTATGTTGCTCAGACTCGGGTACGGGTATCGGGTACGGGTACGTATCTATGTATCGGATCTTTTATTTTCTAAAATGTAGGATACGAGGACATGGTCAAAAAGAGTCCAAATTTCGGATACGGGTACATGGGTACGTCTTTCAAACTTCAATTTTTTTACTAATCCAGGATGTCATTTTGTATTGACCAAAATTAATTATTTACAATGAATAATAAGAGGTTAAGATAAATTTTTGAGGTTTAGTTTTCAATAATGAAAATCACTAAATATTATATAAAATAAAAAATGAGGAACTCGATTGTAATTTGAACTCAGTGGAGCACCAAATAGCTCTATATGGAACCCATTTTCATATTATACAAATAAAATCCTAAACCATCGATATAGAGAGAGAAATAAGAAAAAAAAAGAAGAAAATGGAAAGAAAGAAAAAAGAAGAAGAAAAAAAAGAAGGGAAAACCTAGTATCGCCATCTTTCTCCATCCCCTTGATGACCAC